CAAGTGTATTAGAGCTTATGCAACAAGGCTTTCCATCGCGAGCTCCATTTCAACAACTTTATGATATGTACAAACAGAGACTGCCTCCAAAGCTTGCTCGCCTTGAACCAAGAATATTTTCTAAAGTAATTAATGAGTATGAAATATAATTCTTTGTGATACATTTTTATATCACTTATAGATAGATATTAATTAATTGATAATTTATTATTTTAATGTTTTATATTTATTTTAGGCATTGTTCAGAGCAGTTGGAGTTAATGAAGGCGATTACAAGTTTGGTGTATCAAAAGTTTTTTTTCGACCAGGAAAATTTGCTGAATTTGATGCAATTATGCATTCAGATCCAGATAACTTGAAACAAATGATAGAAAAAGTGCAGAAATATCTAACTACTTTACATTGGAAACAATCCCAATGGTGTGCTTTATCTGTTATTAAATGTAAGACATTATATCAATTTAAATATTCATAATAATATACCCACTAAATTAAGATATTTTGCTAACTTTAAACTATCATTATTCTCATACTCATATACATTTATATTATTGTAGTGAAAAATAAAATATTGTATCGACGAGCAAATCTTATAATCATTCAAAAAAATGTGAGAATGCATTTATCAAAAATGAAACACAGGCCTAGATACATGGGAATAAAAAAAATAAACAGTTTGAAAGTGAGTTAATCAATTATAGTTAACTAGTAGCTTTATGGTATGTTGCTCAGTCAATATTTAATTTAACAGACTAATCCTAAGTTACTATTTAGTATTTAATGTTTAAATCCTTAAAGATTGTCAAATGTTTAAAAATGTATACAGTTAACATATGTTTATGCAGCTGTGTAATGCTATATATTATTCACTTCAAATATTATTTTAACTGTTTTTTTTTTTTTTTTAGACCATATTAAATGAAATGGAAACATTAGCAGGACAAATTAAAAAAGATAATGCTCTCTGTGTATCAGATGCTCAAAAGTTGCGATGTGAATTTGATTTAGCAATTAATAAGATAAGAGTAATGAATTATAATTTGTACTTTTGGCATAATGTTGAATTTATAATTATTGATTTTAGAATAATGAAAATATCAAAGCAGCTGAAATAAACAATGTTTATAATAATTTGGTTAAAGCAGCCAATTCACAAATGGAAAGTTTAAGAAAGAAAGCAAATGCTGAAAAAAGTGCTGAAGCTGAAAAACAACGTTTAGCTAAATTACAAATTGAAATGGAAATAGTTAAGGCTACTAAGGAAAAAGAAGAACATGCTAAGTTAGAAGATGAACAAATTAAAAAACAGTAAGTAGAAAAATTAGTATTGTTGAATGTTTAATTTTATCATTTTAAATTTTAAATTATAACTAATTTTTGTTTATAGAAAAATAGAAATAGAACTTCGTCGTAAAGCCGAAGAAGAAATACATAAAAATGATATTTTCTTAACTAAAGTAKGTTTTATCTAAACATATATTACAAGTTATACAGATAATACAATTAAAATTTTTTTTTATTATTTAATTTAGGAAGAGATTGATAAGGCTGCATTAGCCGAAGCTAAGTTTAGAGAGCAAATGGAACAAGAGCGACGCGATCACGAACTTGCTTTACGGTTGGCACAAGAAACAAATAGTTATGTTGAAGATATCTCCAATACCTACTCAAAGTAAGTATGATGATGTTATTATAAATATAAATAATACTAATGTGAAAATAAATGTATATTTTAAACAGGAGATCTACAAATATAGAACAACCAACAGGTAAATATGATTTGTCAAAGTGGAAGTATTCAGAACTTAGAGATACTATCAATACTTCCTGTGACATTGAACTATTAGAGGTAAATCTAAAACCATGTGCTTAATTTATCGTATTGGTGATTTATGACAATAGAATTTCCAATAGGCTTGTAGAGTAGAATTTCATCGTCGTCTCAAGGTATATCACGCTTGGAAAGCAAAGAACAAAAAACGTACTTACATGGACGACAATGAGAGAGTGCCTCGTTCCATAATGGATACTGGTAAATCAGACAAATTATACTTAAGTTATTAAGTTATTTTTATTGATTATTAATTGAATATTAAGTACTACTTTACATTGCAATTTCTTTGTAGCTAATCAGTCAAAGGGAGTTAAACATTATCAGAATACAAAGGTACAGCCAATAATTCCTATAAGTAGCCAACGTTATTTTCGCATTCCTTTTGTACGTTCAAGTACGCCTGCCAGATCACCTGGATCTGGAGGAGATCAGCATCGTGGATGGTGGTATGCACACTTTGATGGACAATATGTTGCAAGACAAATGGAACTACATCCTGACAAACCAGCAATTTTACTTAATGCCGGTAAGACTTACCCAGTATTGATAAATTATTTAGTTAATGGACATCTCATTTATAAAAACTTCTTTGTTATGTATTAAAAACATTATTTGTTGTAGATAATAAAATTAATTTTGATTTCAGGGAAGGATGATATGCAGATGTGTGAACTAAGTTTGGATGAAACAGGTTTAACTCGTAAGAGGGGTGCTGAAATATTAGAAAATGATTTCAATAAAGAATGGGAAAAACACGGTGGAAATCCATATACTAAGAATAATGTCAGTAATTAAGTATCGGCAGTTTACATGAAAACTGCCTGTTGTCAAGATTATTGTCTCAAATAAATGTTTTAATTATAGGTTATACTGAATCCAAGATATCACATTCCTTACAATTTTTATTTTATTTTTTTGTTTAATTTTATGTTTTGTTCCTATAATTGGGTGATTGGTTTTTAATGTTTTCATCAGGTTGTGATAGATGTGATCAATAACAGTATTGAATTATTGTTTAAAACAAATTTTTTTTAGTTATTTTCTTGTCAATTTAACTGTTATACTTTATAATAACAAATGTCATGTTTGAAAAAATTTTTTTTAATTTTATTAATTATTTTAATATTTACTATTTAGTACTGTTATTTGTTAACAAATAATCTAATCATTAAAAAATATATATATTGGCTGTTAAAAATGTTAATTTTATAATTATAATTTTCTTTGTCTAACATAAAAATATATCTACTCTATTGTAAAACTCGTTTCAAATGAATATAAATCTGTGATAAGAAATTGGTAATTCAAACAAATATTTAAAACTGTTATTTTGATATTTTATTATTTACATAATCATAATTTATAAAATATTTTATGTATAAACAAATAATGAAAAAGTCTAATAAATTATAATGTATTCTGATATTTATAATAATGATTTTCATCAACACTTTTAAATTTTATCGGAGGTATTTAAATAAGTTAAATAAAATTAAAATTTTACAAATATTTATTTTTAGTTTGAACTTCAGTCTTCAATGTTTATTAATATTATTTGTATGTATCATCTTTTAGGTAAAGCTACAATCAATTATCAGTAGCCAGGTATCTTTATTGACTATTCTAGTAGTTGCAAATTTACTACTATACATTATACAAAATAAGAATGGTAGTCGGCAGCCAACTCGTGTGCAGGGGCATAGGTAGTCTTATAGTGAATTTTGTGCATCTATTCGGTGGAAGATTCATCTGAGAATGTATCTGATTGTCTCAGGTTAAAACTTGTCTCAACCAACAATTGTTTCTACTTTGAATACAGTACATAATACATATACTATAGATGTACATAGATACATAATTATATTATGTCATATGTGTGAAATTTACCAGATTTATGAAATCAGAGTAGCGGAAGTAACTCTATACATTTAATTGAGATTTGAGTTTATTAACTCTAAAAGATTATTCTTTTAGGCAGTCAGTCATTTAACCATTTTAAAAATCTTGGCCCAGTAGTATAATCAGTGGCGTCATTTCAGGTTTTGAAAGGGGGGGGGGGCAAAAATTTTGACCGGCCCATAGGCCATAATTTAAAAAAAAAACCACTCGCTAACAATTACATTTTTATCTCAGTACAAACAGTCTTCTTACATCTTACACAACTAGTTAGTTATCTGTGATAACTGTGGTTACTTTAGGCATAAATAACACATTTTTTTTGAAAGATAACAATGACTAATTAATACATAGGTATATAAAATATAATATATAGAGGGATACCCTATATTACCTATTAGTATTTAGCATTGAGTAATTAATATATGCTCAATGCTACTAGCTACTATATGATGACATATTCTAAGGGGAATTTTACCCCAATTTATGTCTTATTTGCACCAAATATGAGTTAATGGTATTAACAAAAAATATAATAAAACATACAATACTTTATTGTATATTTATCATTAATAAAAGTTTAAAATACATACGATAATATTATTATCTATACTCTATAGCCGTGGGTCCCGCCTCCCGCATTTTAAATTAATCAGAAATTTGGATTTTTAAGTTTAATAATATTAAATACTTATTACTTATTAGTTATTCCGTTATTCGATAACGACGATAACATTTGAATTTATTATTTCACAATAATATTAATAAGTAAATATTTTATACGAGTAGCGGCCTACAGGGAAGGCAGAAAACCCGGTATCCCACTCGTCCAGCCCACCACTGCACATACAGAATACAGATGTTAGATACCTTATAATTATTTACGTGTTAGTAGGAGCCACAAATCATGGTTATATTCTATTTAGCAATGACATGAATGTTATGAATCATTTTTGCGGGCTTGTGGCCCAAAACTAGCACCATATACCCGGCCCGGGMTGGCCAAGTCAACCGGCCCGATAGTAGCCCGCTAATGACAAGGGGGGTAAATGCCCACCTTGCCCCCCTCCCCAAATGACGCCACTGAGTATAATCAGAAAAGAGATAGCGGTAACTCTTTATAAATTCATTAAATAACATATACACAAAATAATTATTTTTTTGCAAAATATACATGCTTTAATAAATTAAAATAATTAATAATATTTATTATTATACGCCTAAAATTCTAATTCATTAACATATATTTTTCTTATAATTTTATAGTTATTTTATTACAAATAGACAGTCAATATATGTGAAAAATTAAACACTAAGGAAAATATTGAATGTAGCTTCAAGTTTAACAACTATCAAATTTAGTTTTTAAATTAAATCAGTTTTATAGAAATTTAAGTTTATTACAAAACAGAAATTATAACTTGAAATAAGGCAGTACTTAGAAATATTTTTTACCAAATAATTGAATAATAAATATTTTACTATATTGTGTTAAGAATGTTGTTGAATGACTCTATTCAGTTCTTCATCTCGTTTTTGTTTAGTGTGCGACATAAACTGATCCAGTTGTTGGTCTAAATCTTCTTTAGAAATTACTTGTTCTTTACGAGGAAACTGGTCTCTATAAGATATACACAAAAAAATAATTATATAGATTTATAAATGATGTATATTAGAATGATATTAAAGTTGAACATTACTATTAATAAAATAAATTATTTAAATGAATAATTTTGTATGCACATAATATTTTATTAGCTGAACAATTTAATTTATATCAGGTAAAAAGGGAAAGGTTGTTACTAATTTTATTTAGTATGCGATGGCTCATGGATTTTGAGTCATTACACTGACTTTACAGATAAAAAAAAGAAACAGCGATTCAGCCTTAAAACAAAATGATAATTACAACTTTCATATTATATGAAAATTATGATTAAGCGTAATAATTGTACCTATTTCATGTCCTTAGAGTGTCAGATCCATATTTTTAAGGGACAAAAATATAGGTAATTTCTAGTATGTTGCAAATTTGACAGGCATCGTGGAAAAATAAAGAAAAAATTAAAAATTAATTTACAGGAAAAAAAAGAATAGTCAGATTTAAATTATATTTGAAAGAGAAACATCTAATTAAGATCTCACTGGACCTTGATTTACTAATTAACTTGAAACTTTAAAGTAAGACATTTCAATATACTCAACAATATTTGATTATTTAGATGTTAATAACAACTTCTGAATTTTTAAATTCTAGCTTATGAGACTCAAGTTATTTCTGTGAGTCAAGTTTTTCTACTAATAACTTTAAAACTATAAATAGTTTATATGGTGAAAATCCAATTTTTATATTAATTGTTATTTATTTACATATAAAATAGTGAGATATTAAAGAGTGTATTATATCTTATGATCATTTCATTCTAAATTTCAATAACCAACTTGCTATACAAATAAAATAAAATGAAATGTTCCCAAACATATTGATTGAAATTTTTTTTTAAATTTTATGAATGTAAGAACGTTAGACATAAAGTCTAATATTATTCTGAATTATTAGAAATGTTCATATTATTAATAGAATTTAATTGATATACACTATTCTATATTTGTAATGTTAATCAGTTAATTACTTTACCTACTAATAGTAATTTTAAATGTGGTAAAAATTATTAATTCTACAATTGCAAGTATTTAAAACACAAAATTCTCATGACTTACCTCTGTTTTGAAATTTGACGCTTTTTAGATTTAGAAATCTTAGTATTGCCTGTGCTATTTTCATTTGTGTTTAAATTGGACTTAACAGATTTTCGTATTTTAGTCTTAGGACCTCCTAAAATAAATCATTTATTATGTAACACATACATATTAAAAATTGACATAACTTTACTTCGTCTCCTTATTCTTCTTCTATCTTCCACTACTGGAACTCTTCCTATAGAAAGTCTCTCATGAACAGGAACACCTAATCTATCTATTGGTCTTATCATATTATGCATAATACTATTATACATATGTTTGTTGATTTCAGGTCTTGGAGGAGGCAAGGGTGGCGGAAGTGGTACTCGAAGTCGATCTCTATTCATAAACTCCTATAACAACAAAAATATGTAAGAGTAATACTTATAGGTGGGTATAACAATTTAATTAAAAATGAAAACATACTTGATTCAATAACAATGAAGCTGCTACTTCAGGTCTACGCTCCATATTAAATGAGAGCATACGGTGTTTCCTCACAAGTTYATCGTCCACAACCGATTTGGATTTTTTTTGTATTTGTGTGAACCTGCATCAAAAATTTTCTTAAGTCTACTGACTTAACTAACACTTCTGACGACGAAAAATATATAATACCTGTCATTCAGACTCATGCCTGTGTTTTTGACCAGTAAATTGTTCTTCCTTGCAGATGACATCGTTAGATCTAGTGATAAATATTTCTTCAATAACAAATAGCATTCAATGACTGTAAAACATGGTTTTCGAAATTAAATACGAATGCGGCTTCGTCGAACTTTCGGGCTATCAAAAAAATTGCACCAAAGCCAAACTAAAATTGTTCTATGGCCAAACACAATAACAAAACGATACGGTATATTATCATTATAATATTAAAACATTAAGTAGAATGTGTGCAACTACAACTGTATAAGTAAGTTGTGTGTGACAGTGTATTGTGTATACTGCATAAACCTATCATATTATGTCAGTAAAACTTATTGTTGTTGTTGTAAACTATCATCAGCGATGTTTATCACTGGCCGTAGTCCCGCCCCGTCCGGGTTGGTTATACAAATTATACCACAGTTAATAATCTGTGGTTATACCTTAACCTTATAAGTGGTTTCACTATTGTCAATTCCCACCATAAAGTCAAATCAATGTTTTTAACTATTATCATTAATTTTATAATAATATATATTATAAAATCAACGCTATTATATAGTTTAAAAAGCCATTAGCCAACAGCAATTTTTAAATAACCATACAATTTGGTATCAAAAAAAAAAAAAAAAAATATTAAAATAATTTATTTAGAATTTAAATTATTTTTATACATAATAATATTATACTGTATTCAATTTTTGATTGAAATACTTAATTGTTGATTGGTATACCTACTGAAATAAATTCCACCTCCGTATAATTCTAGTTAATAGAACCTATGTTTAACATAAACATAACTATTTACCGTATCATTGTATATATTATTATTTATTAACCAAGATCCAAGATTTTAATATAATGGTATTAATAGACTGGATTGTAACTATAGTGAAGAGTGAACAGGGGGTTACAAATCTATATGACGAAAAAATAGTATTAAAGTTAAATTACATCAAAATTATTTCTAAGAACTACATTTAAAAAAAAAAAAACAAACATAATAATTAAGCAATATTTATTGTTAATTCATTAATAATTTTCAAAATAATGTTACTAGATAGCGTTGACATCAAAGGGTTTTTATTTTATAGGTTGAGGCCTTGAGGGCAATAAGCCCAATAAGGGCATAAGTCTAGCGAGTGGGAACCGGAGTTCTTGTTGTCACAAATTTAAAATATGTATTATGTGCTTAAAATCACTAAAATATGAGCTAAATATGCATTTGACTTTTTATTTAAGCGTTATGTTTATTAAATTTTTGGTAGAAATAGTAGGTAATAAAATATAAGGATAAAAAATTTAATATGAAACATGTTGAATTTGTACCTTAGCCATATGACTAACTAGCATTAGAACTTAGAACTATAACGTCTATAACTAAACCTTGGGCTCGGACTCTGAGCGTTCTTGTCATGGGTACCTATCCGAGGCAAAATATCAAATGTTTATGTTCGGTAATATGTTATTCAACAAATAGAGGGCTTTCCTCGCTATTCATGAAGCAATCTTCATTTGAAATTTCGCTGTAGCGATAATTATTAATCACTGAACTACGTACAGTTTGTTGTGTTTTGCACAATTTTATTAGACTTAAAGATGGATATTATGCAGATAGTTGTCATCTGTGCCCCGTGGATTAAGATTTAAGGATATCATGTGTGTGTAAAAGATTAAATACAATTTATAACAATATGTTAATATAATTTATGCTTAATTTTTTTAACTTCTAACATTTTTATCGAATTCGCCAAACTCTTTGATAGGAGATCAGGCCACCTTGGTCCAACTTACGTGTTTTGACATTTTTGTCGTGGTATAATAATTTATTTTCTATACATTTAACATTTAATATAATGATGCAATATTATGCATTATGCACCAGCTATTGCACGATACACTCAGAATAAGTTAATTAGATTCTAAATTTATTTAAATAATTTAATATGTTAACAATCGAAACTTACTTGAATACAGTGGCGTAATTAGAATTTGGTTTGGTTTGGGGGGGGGGGAGAGTTTATATATTTTTAGCATCAAGTCGCAAAACGTTTCTAAATAACAAGAGATAAATAATTATGAACGTAAATGTGATTTTAGTAGTTCCAGAGATTACTGAGTTAAAAAATACAAACTCTTCAACCTTTCAAAATGAACAAAGATAGATTTGGTAAATTATTTTAGTACAATATACATATCTATTATTAAATGTAACCTCAAATAAACTATACAATTTGTATTTAATCGATGTATTATTTTTATAGGGTTTACGCTTATACAATGAATGTAAAATGGCAATCCATAATACTCAAAAACATCACTGTATAGATAGATGTACATGAAAGGAACATTTGCGGAAAATATTTTCTAGGTATTATGATATAATTTAAGAAATATTATAAGCAATTAGTTATTTACAAACATTTTAAACTATCAACTTATTCAATTAATGTTCAGAATTTTTATCCTTCAAAATAAACAAATTATACTTACCAGTAGTAAGTTACCACTACTGACAAACATTATAAACAACATTTTCTATTTTAATTCCAAAATTTGAAGAAATTGGGAGATAAAATGTAGAGCAATATCTCAACTAGAAATAACAGTAGAAGCTAGAAACGCATAACAATACCTAATACCTACATAGATAATTATAGCTTTATAATATTATATCTTCTAAATAATTTCTTTTTTAAATATTTAGACCAATTTTCAAGCTATTTAAATCAAAATTCTATTAACACGATTCTAAGATTATAGGTGTGAATTAATTTATAGTTAAAATTTTGGCAAAAATGAATATAATATACAATAAAGCGGAATAACCAATAGCAACATAAATAAATTATAAAATTAAAATAGCATCAAAAGGCACAGTAGGCTGTCATACAGCTTCTGCTTCGAATCGTTTTCTTCATAATATGCAATTATGCATCATTAATTTTAATATTTCAATACTACCATTACAGTGAACTACTCAATGACAAGGTACAATAAAATCTTATAATACAACAAGGAACTTCTCAGGTTTTTTTTTATAATTTAAGTAAAAATGAATAAAATAAGGATTCATTATTCAAATGCATGCTTGTTTTTAATTTAATATTAAGAAAAAAATTATACCTGGTATTTTGTTTTATGAAAAAATTATATATTATACTAATTCTCAATTATATTTATTAATATTTAATGTTAATTACAATAATAGTTTAAATAACGGATTTTAGAAATGGATTTTGGGTCAATTTGTACAGTTAACATAAAAATCAATGTTAACATTACACGCAAGCATTTGTACAAAATGTATGACAACATTAATTTAAAAATTAACAATAGTATAATTATTAATTTTAAATATTTACATTTAAAAATAATAATAAAAAGAAATTCATTAATTTAAATATATATATTTATCAAATAAAAAAAAATATTTTCAACGAGAAACATGGACATATTTAATACTTAAATAAAGATTGTTTTCTTTTATTTTCAAGGCCTAAATCGTTCCTAAAAACCAAGATTACATAAAACGAGCTGATATGTTATCACTTAAATGATCACTCCTATTCGCCAAGATCAAGTTCACCGACATTGATCCGTTCTGAAGCGACCACATTAAAGCCAAGTACTTTATTATCTAGTGGCACCATCTTATTTCGTTTTTTGTTTTTACTCTGTAAAAATAAACAATAATTAATTAAATTTTAGAGAAAATAAATATTTAATAATAAACCTAAAATAGTACTATACATGACTTCAATCATTTTAGATTAATATTTTTAAAGTTTGAACTCAACTACACTGTAACTTTTTTTGACACTTTTGAATTTCACCCACATCAATTCAACAAGACTCAAATCTTGAAAACAACTAACTTTAAGTAAGTACTAAGCAAATTTAACTGAAATTAATTAACCAGTATCAAAATTAATTGGACTTATATAAGTATATAACCCAGTAGTTCTATGTAACTAACACTGAATATGTAAACCATAATATGTCTAATAAATATAATAAATTAAATAAATTCATATCTTCCAATTAGTAACTATTTAATACATTAAGACCATAAATTAAGAATAAACAGACATAATGTATTGTAAAAAATATAAATATAAGTTAAATTATAATTTTATTGAATGCAGATTTCTTAGTTATGATTAAAAATAAAAAAATTTCATAATGCTGAAACCTAAATAAAATAAAATATATTTTACATATTTTGAAGTAAATAGATTCTGCTAAAGTGCCAATCCAATCTTTTTTTGGAGAAAAATCATTCAGAAATGAATTTCTAAATGAAAGTTACAACAATTGGATTATAGACTAGTTACACAGAAATTACAAGTCTTTTATTTATAGGATTTGAAGAACTTAGTCCACATTATTCAAATTGTAAGGAGAAGAACGTTTATTGACATGAACATTATTTTTTTATTTGGCTATTATTTAATTTTTAAAGGTAGAGGGAATTTAATTGTAGGAGATTCCTTAAATTTCTTTTATAAATATTTAAAATAAAATAATATTTTATTGATGATTGATTTCATACAGATGAGACTTACAATAGAAATATAAAACCAAAGATACCACAAATTTAAAATTATTCATAAGTATTAGTGGTAAATGCGCAAATAAATAAAACAAAACTTACTTTCATTTCCACAAAATCAGAACTCCTTTGTTTATTTTGTATTTTTAAGCGTTTGTCAAAGAATTGTTTACTGAATTCTCGAACTTCTTTATTATCACCCAGATAACTCTGAATGTAGTCTTTTACTTCATACTCAGATTCAACATCTTTTAAAAATGTCACAAATGTTGGTACTAAAAACAAATATTTTTTAGAATTTTTTTTTTGCATATGATGCTATGTCTAGGAGTAGGCCCAAAGGCCTAGTTCGGACACCTATTTGGCAGAATTTCTAATTGGGCACCCATAAGTTTTTCCCCCATGCTCAGGAAGAGGATGGAAGCCTCTCTCTCCAGACACCGTGACTGCCCGAAAAGAGGTGCCACTCGTGACCAA